TTTAATGATATATTTTATATGGTAGAACACATAAACTAACAATTATACAAGACTACATGAAAAGAAGTTGAATCTAATTAATTACGGAATACGTATGAAAATGAAATCAAAATAAGAATGAAATTCGAATACAACAACAAGCAAAGTTTTCTTCTCACAACAAATATGCTGGAGAATATAAGATATAAGGATGGTTTAGTCTTAGTTGCCCAAATAGTGAATTCACTGACAAATTGTGAATTTTTAAAATGTATGGAATTTTCGCATTCAATGAGGCCGCATCAGTGTTGGTCAATCGGTGGATGGGAATCGTTCGGCGCTCTACGTTCTTCACGATTTCTGACCATTCGACTCGGACGCAACGTATTTGAGCAAGGCCGAAACACCGGCCCAACCCTCCTGGGATGCCACTCGAATCTTGTTCACAGCCAGCGAAGGAACATCAACTCTGAAGGTTTGTGAACAATTAAAAATTCACACAAAATAACCCAAACATTATTGCGATCTCCAACTTGCTTAGTAATAATTTCATACATTACATTTGCACAGTGTGCATTTAGGATTAGATTTGTAATAGTTGGGTTGGAAAAGAGAAATTTATTTAGAAAATAACCCGTTTTGAGGTTGTGCACGAGCTGGTCTCAAGTGAATCGCATAAGCGTGTTCAATGTTCAGGCTCTGCTTGGCGTAATCAATTGCCATACCGCCCGTCTTCTCGTCCATCCATGCACCGACTGATGCTTGAGCAAATTCCGTACCATTGACACTTTTCATTGCTTTCGCAGCTCTTTCGGCACCAACTTTCTGCAGATAAATCTACTTGAACAACTAATTCGATGCCAAACTCTTCAGCGTTTTAAACTTGTTTAGTCTCAAGATTATACGCAGATATANAATCAGGTGATCAAGAATAATGTTACGTACACAAAGCGATTATTGAAAACTGTAAAATTGACACATTTATATCTTTTGTAGGTATGCGCCAGCTGCAAGAAACAAAATAGGTAACAAAATTCAGTTTAGTGATCTATCTCTACAGCCTTTTGATGAAAATCTGATGAAGCTGATAGTTAACGAGGATGAATGCTGTATATAATCATCAGAACAAATATCTGACCAGTGCGTTTATATTTGACGGCATGCGATCTGTATTTGCAAATGGATATAGTACAGCAGTTCCGTGAGAGTGAATATCGATGAACACTCGAATTGTGTCGTTGTTGTCCTGAAGGAACTCGGCAAGTGCACGCGATTCAGGCTCGGAGAAAGCTACTGGACCAGGATATTCGTTGAGACACGATGTCGCCGTTGCCTCATCTTAAACACCCAATTTAAGTTGAGAAAAATTGTTGAAATAATAATTTCGTACTGAATATTCACCACACTGATTCGCCATTTTCACCTGCTTCCTCTCTTTCCACTTTCCTTCCATTTACCAAATTGACATTTCACCACTTGCCCCACAAAGATCAATTAAGCCATCTAAGATCCATCCACTACCATATATTTCATGATTCAGTGATGAATTGTGAAGTGAAATGTTAATGGGAAAGAAAAATAGAAGCAAATTTGAGGAATACCTTTCCAATCAATATCCCAATTGCGATTCAAATCGACTCCACGACACGATAAGTGATACGGTCCACTGCGTGTCTTCGTCCAGATTGGCATTGAATCCCACGAGTGCCGATAACCATCCGGATTGTTCACTGGCATAACGTAGACATCCATTTGTGACAGAATATCTCGATACTTGCTCGCATTCTCTGTCAACTATTGGAGTCATTATAAAGTGTTGCTCTGCTTTGAGATCATTTCAATATGAAATCGATTACAATCCCATTTACAACTTTAGGAATAATCGCTTGATTAAGCAAACACCCGTTGAAATGATGTGCATGTAAGTGGTGACTAACTTCGTTGATGGCATACACAGCCGATGCGGGTGATATCCACTGATCAGCGTGCATTCCGGCGTTTATGAAAGCCGCTATTTTCTTATTGTCAGTACCATCAGATATCTGCAAACCGTTGTGGTGACGATTCTCTCAACTCAAAAGATGGTTATATAATGATTAATTAATCTATTCATGAAATTATTCTCTCTCTCTCTCTAAAAAAAAATAAAGAAACTTTTTTCTCTGAAACATAAAAGTTTTCGAAAACCTTAATGGCAGTGAGACTACGTCCATGGAATGAAGTTCCGATTTCTATGAGTTCAGTTGATCGTGGGTACTTCTTTTGAACAGCTGTCAGATAGCATTCGATCTGAAGAAGTGGCAAGACTCAGTGCTAAATATCACGAGTAATGAATTACGTATGTGTTGTTTGCTTTCGCCATATACCGTTGTTTCACTATATTTGCGTAGCATACATTACGTTTTTTGAAAATGCATTTGTTGAGTTCGGCTAATTGAAAGAAATGAAAATATTCGTACTTCTTCGAATCGATGATAGCTGGCCGTGTCGATGTTTTGTGGCTCTTGAGCACATTTGAAGCGACCACGTTCACTGCTAAGGCTCTCTCTCAGGTCACTGCAGTATTTCAAGAGTTTTGATCAAAACCATTTTGAAAACGCATCTAACGAGGCAGTCTTCCCGCATAACGACTAATCAGTCTAACGGTGAGCTCACATTCATTGCGGGCAACAAAATTCATTGAAAGCGTTTGATTTTGGCGTTTTCGAGTTATTGCCACCCACCCTTTCAGATCTCAAACTCGATTAGTTTCGATTCGCGAAAGTAATTCTCCACACCCATCAACTGAATGTTTCACTAACTTTTGAATGAGGTTTCGTAAGATCGAATGAGAGAATCCTTCGCGTTTAAGATGTTCAAGGACGTTTCTCTGGCTTCGTGCATCAACTCCCATGTACAGTGACTTTCCCTCTTTCGAACCGAACAAAATCTGATCATTAGGATTTGTCATTTTGCCTACGAAACCGTCCAATACTCTATTGAAGTTTCCATTTCCAAGGTAGACACGCATTACTGGATCACTAAAATCCAATTGCTTTCTGGTTCATCGCCGCAGAACTTCAACAACTCAAAGACTCTCCGAATTTCAGTGTTCTAATCACGCTGAATAACATTTTGGATGAGTTCTGCGTATCATTGCCGTTGAATTTGAAAAAAATTTCCGCAATCTAGAAAGCCAGCTGATCATTTCAATGCGAAAATTTGATCGCTCGGAAAAACGAAGAACGCAACTGAATATTTTCTGTTCTCCTCAGATAGTGTTATTATCAATGTTTCAGCCTTAAAAAATTCACACGTTTGCGAACTTTCGGCCAAAATAATCATTTGAAATACACCAAATTTGGATACCCCAATATCCCGAAGTTCGGAGTTAAATACTGACAGCGCATGAACATCTTTTGGCGATGCTTGCTTGCCTAAAACATTCTCAGAAGAAGGTACAAAAAAACGTCGAAATGATAACAGTCGAACCCATTGTTTAGTGGTCTTATGGATTGGGTCCACGGAAAAATCACGGATGCAGCCTGATGGACGTAAATTGAAACGAACACGAATACTGACCAATGCATCGTTCTGAAATGATTCACGTGATTCAATGTGAACATGCCTTTCAGCAATGCGTATCTTCAAACTTGTAGAGCAACAGTAGAATTGAACCAACTATAGACTTTGGAGGGACAACTGAATTGCTCCAGTTATATTGATAGTCAACAGCAAATTGAAATTCAATGAAATGAGCCTGGCGAGAAATGAGCTAAAGCCTGGTGGGAATAATCGTATTCCTTTAGTTCCTATGGCATCATGATCTTTCGATGCAGTTGCTGCTTAAGAGTGTCACAGACTATCTTTTAAATAAATCGAGTGAGTGATAGAATTTCAGAGTGGAAATCAATAGTATTTCGTTCGAGATGAACTCGTACAATTTCTCGTATCTCTCGGCTCCCAATGAGAGTGCAACTGATCTCAGTCAAAATTCAAACGAACCAAGAAATATCAGTGGATTTTTCGAATTCAATTAGTCTCATTTTTAAATCGTAAAGAATCGAAGGGAAATTTGTTCGTCAGTTGCCGAAAACGAACAACAATTATTTTTCTTGCGCTATCTAAGGAAGGCTCCAGAAATTCTGCGATCAGAACGTCCAAAATACAGAGCAAGTCATCGAATTCGAATGGTTCATGAATGGTATTGAAATGAAGAGAAACGTCATCATCGCAAACGAATATCATACTCGAACGTTAAGATCTGAATCCACTTCGGCGTTCGTTCCATTTAAGTAGGTGCATTGTGGTTGACGATTCGTATCGTTAAGCAAATATTCGTCGCACTCTTATCACTTCGACTCACTCGCATTATCAATGAAAACATTCCAGATTCCAAACAATTGATCGGAATTGATCAAAACAATTGTTTAATCAAACGTTGGTGCTCTCATCAGTACAACTGAAGAAATGTTCATCGAGAAGAAGAAAAAGCTTTCGTATCAAGTGATTCGCATCTATTTGTTGAAATGAAGAATTTCTGGGCTGAGTATCAGATGGATTCGCGATTCTAAAATCCAAAAACTCCGAGCATTTCCGAATATATAAATATGCATTTGTCGGA